GGCCGGGACTGTCGCGGTTGCCCAGAGGAGCTCTGATTTATGCCATGACTCACAGACGGGGAAACGTGGAGCTTTGGAAAACACCCATAGTTTTGGATTCAGAGACAGTATGGCCTAGTGCTGGGTTTCCCCGCCTCAGCACTGTTCGTATTTTGGGGTCAGATCATTAATTCTTTGTTACTGGGGGGGTGTGGGGGGGGGTTGTTCAGCAGCTCCCCTGGTTCTATCCACCTGAGGCCAGTAGAACACCACCCCCCACCAAGTTGTGATAAACAAAAACGTCTCCCGACATTTGTCTCCAGGCCAAAGGTCCCCTGGAGGACAGAATTTTCTAAGGTTGAGAAACGCTGGCCTAATTATGGTTCATGAAGCAACTTTGCTACATAGATGCCCTGGGCTCAAGACCCCACTCACTCGCCTGCCGACCAGCCTGACCCGGCAAACTCTCCCCAACTTCTCCGACGCTCGGTTTGGGACGGACACTGGGGTCACTTGGTGGCTGCCTAGCCACATGGAGGGGGCTCGGGGAGGAATAAGGGCTCTGGATTTCCCTAAGTGCCACAACATACGAGTTCCCTGCAAATCTACCTTGTCGGGATTTACTCCCGAGGCAGGAGGGGTCTCAGACCTCCCTCTGGGGAGGTGGGAAGTCAGCCTGCAAAAGGACCCGGAAGCAGAGAATGAACCTTCCTATGCAGCTGAATGGACTGTTCTGGGCGCGCACACGTCTGCACCTCGGCCTAAAGATGGGTGCGGGGTTCGTCCCAGGCACTGGGCGACCCGTCCAGCCTCTCCAAGGGCTTCCTCTGCCTTTGTTGCCCATTTTGATAGAACATGATGCCTTTCACAGTGACTCAGAGCAAACATCACAGACTTACATCCCAAAATTTATGTAGCCGATGTTACATACCTTCGACCATTCGGTCACACTCCCGACAGCTCCCCTTTCCTCACTGGGGGAATCGCTCCTCTCTCCAGTCACTGTGGTTTGCACTATTTTGTCCCCTGTCGCACCCCTCCCCCCCCACCAAAAAAAAGGGACAAGAAAATGCCCAAGGTCTAATCTCAGAAGGGACTTTCTGGGAGCATCTGTTTGATTCCGACCACCTAAATTTCTTGGAGAGGCTCCTTTTTCCGATCGGAGATTACGAACTCTGTCCCTCTGGGCTCGCAAGCACTCAGCTCAGCCAGCCTGTCCTGCGTCCCTGTCACTGAATGACTGAGGCCAGGGGCCGGTGGGGCAGGCCGACACAGAACATTCAGGCTCTGACTGCCCCCTCTGGCCCCCTGAGCACAGCTCCTTGGCTGTCCCGGGGTCACGGCAGTCCAGCCCACCTAGGACTTGCTCCGGCGATGGTCAAAGGGCACTTGCCAGGACATGGTGCAGGGGCCCGGTAACAGGTGACAGCATGATGCCTGCCCTGGAGCTGGAGCTCACGTCCAGGGCCACCCCTGCACTCCCCGGTGAATGCACAGCACGCCGGGAGGCGGTGCCCTGGACCAGGCAGCTGGGACACTTGCCAGGTCTCCATTCAGTAACCGTGTGGCCCCAGTTGCCCTTCCAAATATTACAGATCCTGATGGGAGGCTCTCTGATGCCTCGTGACCACTGTGAGCTTCTGAGACTGACGAACACGTGTGCACTCTCCTGCCCCTTTCCGACACCTACACTTGAAAGTCTGCTACCCGGGACCCACACAGCCCCAGCCTCAGAGCCCCCCATCCTGGGATGGTCCCTTCCAGGGAGCTCCCCATAGAGTATGTGCATGCAAGGAGACACAGGGTTAACTACTCAGCCTGGAGAGCCAACAGGGTTGGATCTGAATCACAGCTCTCTAGATGTGGGTTCTCAGGCACATTAGCCTGGCCTCAGTTTTCTCAACAGAAGAATGGGACAATGACTAATGCGTACTTCTCTGCACCTCACTTTTGCCCCCAAGGGGTGATTTGAGAAGTGAATGAGATACAAACAGAGCACAGCACAAGGAAAAGGTGCACAAGAAGTGACAACAGTAAAGATAATAATGATTGATAGTGCCACTATTGATGACGAAAGAAGGTCATGCTGAAGAAGTGTGACATTTGTCTGGAAGGAATCGGGGAGCAGGGCAGACGACGGTGGCGTCTTTCCAGTCTCCAGGGAGGGATTCCCACATATGCTAGTGGTCTGGCCACATCCAAGCTCTCCATCTAGAACAGGCTGCAAAACGGCCTCCTGCCTCTCCAACCAAGTGGCCTGCCCTCCTAACTTTCTCCCTTGGATCCCGGGGACCTTAAGGGAGATATAACTATCTCTCTCCGGGGGGGGGTGGTCAGGGGAGGTCAGGGGAGTATCGCTTGCCTCTTAACCTTGACCTCATAGGGAAGGGAGGGATGGCAGCGCGATCATCTTGCCCAGGCCCACACGGGAGGTGGGATGCCCTTGGGAGGCACCTGCCTGAAGTGCCTCCTGGCCTCTCCTCCAAAGCTCCGGTGACAGTGGCTCAAGACCTCCTAAAGCAGGTGTTACTCTGTTCAGTGAAGTGTCCCACATACAAACAAACACAAGTGTGGGTCACCTGTGGCTTGCAGGGGGGGAGATGGGGAGACATGGAAGGCCAAGCATGAAGAACATTCTAGCAAAGGCGGGACCTCTTCCCTGAAGAGCAGTTACTGAAGAGGCAAGCCCCTTCTTTCTCAGCGCTGGCTCATCGAGTCAAGGTGGGCTCTGGGGCCAACGTCACCCAGGAGAAGCCAGAACGGGAGCTCCAGCCTGGGGTCAGCGACAGCAGCGTCTGTCCCTCCTCCCCGGGACAGCCCTGGGGCTCGACAGAATGACTGAGCCTGGGCTGGAGCCTCTTCCCGCAACACAGACCGTCCCACCTCTCCTCGGCAATCCCGGCGGTTGGCACCTCACTCCTCGTGTGGGCCCTGTCGGACTCCAGGTCTTGGCCGGGGTCCTTCTGCATGGTCCCAAGAAAGCTGCTCTCTGGAAATTTCCACGGCCACATAAAAAGACGTGCGCTCAACTTTAGAGAGGAGAGCGGGCAACAGGGACTAGAATCCCTGAAGCTTCAGCAGAGAGCCGGCAATGGGCAGGGGACGAGCGTGCCCCGTTCTGAGGACGGTCAGACTTCTACCTGTGGAAGAGGCCAGAGCCGGCCCACACCACGCGATGACATGGGACCCCGGGGAATGGCCTCTGTAGACCCAGAGCCTGGTTTAAATGCGCCCTGCAGGTGCCAGCCTCCGACGGCGGCATGGTGTGGCAGAAAAGAGGCTGGCTTTAAAGCTGCATGGTCCAGACTCAAATCCCAGCTTGTCACCTTCATGCTGTGTGGCCTTGGGCAAACTCCTCTGAGCTTCTGGTTCCACATCTATGTACTGGAGCCATGAGGCCGTAAGGTAACCGTATGAATTGAACGTGTGCACGTGAGTCTAGCACGGTGCCTGGACACAATGCTCACCCAGTGCCTCCTGCCCGTTACCCCACATCTAAGACAGAACCCAGCTACGTAGGGCAGGAGGGACAGGACAGCACACTCTCTGGCTGGAAATCTGTCCTTCACCCTTCATTGGACATTCACATGCACACTTATCCTCGTTGTTGAAGTGATGGTGGAAAAAAACACACGCACAAAGAAAAACACCACAGGCGACTGAGACAGAGTGACCCTGAGCAAATCACTGTCATCACAGAATGTGAAGTTTGGACAAGATGGGCCCTAACGCTCGTGGCCTTGTGTCTGTGGCCCTGATGCTGAACAGAGAAAAATTCTTGAAAGTTGAATTTAACCGGCGTTTACGCCAGAGGGGAAGAAAGCCTTCGTGGGGGGAGATCCCTGCGCCCAGAATTATCCAGAAAACACCCGGCCTGCCAGGGCTCTCCCGGATACGAGGTCTTTCTTAAGAGCTGGGGCCACACGCTCCCTTCCTTCCCCATCACGGGGCCCAGAACCCTCTCTCCCCTGCCCTCGCCACAGGCCCTTTGGGGAACAGGGAGAGGTCGCCTGCCTCTTTTCGGGGCTGGAGGCTCCCCCGAGGACGTGGGGTCAGAAGGTGAGGCATCAGGACGTCTGGGCTGGAGTGACCTCCTAGCATTGCCTTGGACCTCTGGCTCTGGACCTCCTCCTTGGGTTCTTATGAAGACATGGGTCTACAAGAAAGACCTTGCTCATGGGGCGGACGTGGGGGCCCGAGACGGGGGGCGGGGGGGTCTGCTGGAGAGGCAGCAGGGGTGATGGGCAAGCGACAGCTAGCCACCCAGCCCGGCCCGGCCCTGCGGAGAGCACAACCCTGTCGTAACCCCGGAACGAGCCCAGGCAGAAGGTCCCACATCCCTTCTCCTTCTCTGCAAAGGTCATTCCAGCTCTCCGCGCTCATGGCCTCCACTTGAGCCGAAGCATTCACGGACGCGTGCGTGGCTGCGGTGACAGATGTGGCTCATAAGAGTTGGCGGCCGCCTGGAGGTCGGGCCGGTAATCCCGTTATCACAGCGGCTCAGCGCCCGCCTCCCAGACTAGTGAGTGGCTGCCTCTGGACAGCTGAGATGTCCCTTTGCCTGTTATCAGGAACACTCATTTCTCCTGAGACCACAGGGACACGTCCAGCCCGTTTGCGATGGTCCCCAAACGGTACTACGGCTTCTTACCCAGTCTTTCCAGTTTCTCAGCCACGGAGGACGGGGCGTATGCCATTCATTTTCTTTTCTGCAGCACAGGGAGACAGTCACGCTTGGCCCGAGGGAGCCCGCAGGGGAGCCTCTCCCACTCTGGTCGGTACAGGGGTGCTGCCTGGGAAAGGGAGAACCACGCAGGGGCCTCTCCTAAGGACAGAAGAGCGAGCCCTTCCCCACGCTGCCCCATCCCCACGGCACGTCCCATCGCGTGGGGGTTCCCTTGCTTGCCAGGCCCCCCTCAGCCACTGATCTGGAAGAACCCAAGGGGACTGACCCAGACAGAGAGCAGTCATGCCCTGCAACAGAACGTGGGAGCCACGCCGAGAGCAAACCGCGGGTGTTTAAGAGACTGCTTTGTGGGGGGCTGAGAGAGCCCTGAGCCCTGAGCCGAGTCAGGAAATGTCCCTCCTGCTCTGACCCCCCCCCCCCCCAGGAATCCGCCCTGTGACCTCCGGGCGTGGTCACATCCATCAGAAGATCAGGTGTGTGTGAGCCTGCCATCTAAAATTCCGTGATTTCTCAGAGAGGAAAGCATCTTCGTGCGGGTGTCTGAAGACGCGACTACTCGGCAGATCTAAAGCTTAAAGGCGCTTCTTCTGGTTTTAAATAAGAGAAAGTCTGTCCAGGAGATACCGGCCCCCGCCCCTCCGCCCCAGGAAATCCTACCCGTCCTTGGGTTTCCTGATGCATCTGGGTCTTGAAAGGGGACACATGACTGGTGACAGAGGTGCCCTCGCCAAGTCAAGTGGGAACGTTCTATGGCGCAGGCGACCACAGCCAATATTCCAAAGGGCCGAGTGGGAAACCAAGGCCGCTCCGGGAACGCCCCGGTTCTGAGGGCAGCTCCTTCCTGGCACTGGACACACCAGGTGTGAAAAGTTGGCATAAAAACAAGACACGTGTGTGATTACTTCCCGCCCGCCAGCGATCGACCATGTCCGTATTTCAAACCTGACTGGCTGTTCCTTTGGGTCTCACGTTCCTGGAATGCAGTTTCAAGAATTCCCCAATTTGCTCCTCCAAGGTTCTGCCCCGGCCCGCCCCCGGGGGGGGCTGGAAACTCACACTCCCATGTTTTCTGGATCAGCTGGACCACAGCATAGAACGTGGGCGATCAGGGCGCTTGGGGAAATTCCTGACGCGCGGTGGCTGACCCTGGTGCCGCGCCCCTGGTCAGAACTCCCGGCTCCAGAACGTGGGCACAGCCCGAGGCCAACGGCGACGGTGCTCTGAGCAAAGCCTCGCCCTGCTGCGAGCGCCGCGCGGGGTGAGCCGGCCTGGGGCCCGCGGGCACCGCGAAGCTCAGAAGGTGAAGGCATACACCACCCCAACCACCACAATGTTCCCCAGTGTTGCTATGATGGCAATCCAGAGTAAGACCGCGTCGTTGGAGGACCGCGGAGGCTCCTCCGGCTGGCCCTGGCCGTTGGAGGCCGCATGGACGTTGGTGGAGGAGTTAAAGAGAGAGTACTCCGTGCTGAAGTCCTCGTTGGGCGAGTCCATGAAGGCGCCTCCCATCATGGGCAGCTGCGGAGAGGGAGAGAGAGAGTTAGCCGGGGCCCATGGGGTTCTCCTTGCGTTCGCTATCATTGGCAGTGCCCATTTTCACCTATAAAAGTTAGTACTGACAGCGATGCCTGGAGGCAGACACCCTCATGCCCATTTCGCAGATGGAAGCGTCAAGGCGCACAGCTGTCGGGGAGGCGGGGGGGGGGGGGGGCAGCCCACCACGCGTGCTGGCAATCAGCGGGACTCAGACCTGCCCTCCAGAAACCACGCCCCATCTAAAGGCCACGCCCCATCTAAAGGCCACGCCCCATCTAAAGGCCACGCGCCCTCCACACCAGCCTGGATTGTAAACCTTCCTCTTCTCATTGTGAAGTCATGATGCTCAGCACAGAACATTACGGAAACAGTCGAGAGGATAAAGACAAAAATGAAGAGTCCGCCTCCCCACTTTAGGACAATCCCTGTCAACGCTGCGATATTTTTCTTTTGAATCTTTTTTCTGTGTGAGTGTGTACATGTGTGTGAGAGGCAGAGAGAACGTGTTTACACGTGCAGTTTTACCCTCCTGTATAAACGGTCCATTGAAGTACCATTTTAACCGTTGTATCCTATTCTACCACAAATACAAGCCATAATTTAACCATTCCCCTATGGTTGGCGATTTAGGAATTTCTTTTTTTTCCTATTTTAAAATTTGTTTTATGTTTATTTGTTTTTGAGACCGAGAGGGACAAAGCGCGAGTGGGGGAGGGGCAGAGAGAGGGAGACACAGAATCCAAAGCAGGCTCCAGGCTCTGAGCCATCAGCACAGAGCCCGACTCGGGGCTCAAACCCACGAACCGCGAGATCATGACCTGAGCCGAAGTCAGACGCTCAACTGACTGAGCCACCCAGGCACCCCTTTCCCCCCTATTATGAATAATGCACTGAGAAACATCCCGTACGTACATCTGGGGGTACAAACGTGCTTGTTCGTGCATTTTCATTTATTGGGGGTGCCCTCCCAGCTGTGGAACTTCTGAGTCAATGTGGACGGATACTTCAGAGCTTCTGGTGCACAGGGACACATTCCCCAGAAGAGCGATTCTTCTTCCCAAAGCCTCGCACATGAGGACGCCAGCATGTGGGCACCCCAGAGATCGGAGTAAAGGCTCCAGGCTGGGGGTGGGGAGGTGCCGACCCTCCACACAGCCACGGAGAGACCCCTCCCTGCTTCAGCCCAGGAAACCGAGGTCCAGGCCTTCCAGATCACTCCAAGGGCTGATGTGCCTTAGGTTCCAGGGTTGGCTCAGGCAACTATTAGGTCCATAGTGTTTGTTTTGGATGGCACCCGAGTGAATGAACATTGGAGCCTTCCTTCAATACACATTTCATTTAATCACTCAGCTAACCTGTTGGAGGTATCCCTATATCCCCCTTTCACAGGTGGGTAAGCAGAGGTCAAGACTAAAGCGCTATTTCATGGTGGAGTCAGCCCTGAGAGCCAGTCTGGCTATGGAGCCCGGTGCTTCCTGCCCTGCACGCAGCTGCCCCGCCTCCGGGGTCTGACTCCACGTTAGGGCTTGGAGACGTAAAGGTCACTGACCCCAGGAAGACTCGGGCCACAGGGGAGCAAATCGGGGGCCATTTCCCTTGGCCACTCACCTGACAAATACATATGAGGGGTGTATTAATTAGGTGCCCCAGTTCCTGACTCTGGATACAGTGGTGAGCAAGACAGATGAGGCCCCTGCTTTCATGGGCCCACACTCCAGCCGGGGGATGATCCCGGAGGAAGATGGCAAGGCAGAACATCTGCTTGGAATAAGCCATCAGGATCCCCACAGGGAGGCCACCTTCAGGCAGCTCTGTGCTTGGCCCACCCGGATCCCAGAAGCTTCTATGGGCTCAGAGGAGCTCGGTGTTTCATCCTTAACACAGCTCTGTCCTTTATTGGGGTGGGGACCCTCCAGCCGTCAGCCTGGGGATGTAGTGACAGGAAGGGGACTGGGGATCTCAGGACAGGCCAGGGGCCGAGCCTCGGGGGCCAGTGGTTACGGGGGCGTGTTCACGGTTGCATTTACATACGTGTGCATGTGTTATGGTTTAGCAGGATGTTAAATTAACATACTGAGTTAAATTAACACATTTAGTATATGTTAATGACTATAATGATGAACGCAAATGAAATCACAGTTGACATACATTCTATGAAGAATACAAGTAAGCGTTTCAGTAAGAGAGCTGTGACCTCCCTTGCCCCCAAGCAGGTGACAGAGGGGATGGGCTGCAGCCGGCTCAGGCAGAGGCAGCCTAAGGGGGGCTGAGGGGCTGGTGAAGCAGGGCAGCCCTGGGTCCAGGGCCTTCCCATTAAATCCATTCCTGCTTTAGAGCTCAGCCACCGGTCCTCTCCACTGGAGCCCTCCTTCCCGCGTGCCCCCAAGACCCCGTCCTGTCCTCGCGGCCACCCGTCCCAAGACCCAGTGGCCTGGAAGCTCCGGGAGGCCGGACCAGATCCGCTTACTCTCATCACGGAGTCTCTGGAGCCTTGCACGGGCCTGGCACACAGTGGTGCCTAATAAATGCCTTTTCACGGACTGACGAATGACAGCCTCTCTCAACTGGGACAAACAGATGTCACTGCCAGGACAGTGGCGTGTCTGGCATCTCCCCCTTCCACCTGCCATCTGCCCGGTATGGAGGGCGGTGGGGTCCTGCTCCCCTCCCTGCGGCAGCTGGCGCCCCAGCCACCCCAGGGGGCCCACCTTCTCTAGTGTCTTCCTCTGACCGCCCACAGCGGAAGCAGGGCTGAGGTGAGGCCACGGACACTCTCTGCTGGTGGCCTCTTAGATAACGAGGCTGCGGCCAGGGCGGGAAGCTGCACTTTCTGCCTCCCGATGCTCCTCCCCTGGGCCCGCTCTACCCCACAGTTAACCCACATCCCAGTGTCCCCACTGGCCACCTGTCCGTCCCTCTCCCCCCTCCCCCAGGGCCCTGCTGGGTTTCCGGGCAGACCCCACCCCCAACCGTTCTCCCATCCTGCTGCGGCATCGGGGGAGGCCTGTGCCCCCCTCGCCTCTCTCAGGGAGCACCAGCTCAATGGGTATTTTCATCAAATCCCTGGAGAAAAGGGGGAAGGTGGTGGGAGCTCCTGTGGGAGGGGAAGAGAGAGCAGCCCCAGGCGGACCGGCCCTGCCCGCCACCGCCACCCGGCCCGGCGGCCGCTGCCGTCCGCTGGCTCTCGGCCCAGCGCCCCTCCACCCTGCACCCCTTCCTGCGCGCTGGCCCCCTGCACGCATTTACTGTGCCTGTGTCAGCTTCCCACGGCGGCCTTAACGAGTTGCCGCACGCTCAGTAGCTCAGAGGCCTGGAGGTCGGACGTCTGGGACACGGGTCTCACTGGCCTCGCTCAACGTGTCACCTGTGCTCCTGCTGCACCCAGCTCCCACGTCGGCCCGTGGCCCCTTCTTCTGTCTCCCAAGCCTGCTGCGTGGGGTCCTTCCAAACTCTCTCTGACCCTCCGGCTTCCCTCGTGTGAGGACCCCAGTGATCACACTGGGCTCCGCTGGATAAGCCAGGATCGTCTCTGATTGCAGGGCCCTTGACCTTAAACACCCCTGCAGAGTCTCTTTGCCCTGCAAGGGGACGCAACCAGAGGCTCACCAAACTGCAGCTCGGGCTCCCACTACCAGGGAACTCTTCTTGAAGGCAGGCATACGACCTATTCATCTCAAGCTCCCTCAGCCCCCTTCTTAACACAGACAAGGTGACGAGTACGACCAAATGGAATTAGTGAACTGAAGTCAGCAGAAGCGCCCCCCCCCCCCCCCCGCCCCGGCCCCGGGCTGTACATCATAAACCTGGTCCCAGAGACCCCAGCGGCGGGACAGTGCCTTCTCCACGGGGTGAGCCCCCTCCCGGCCCTGCACCTGCCGTGACACTCAGCTCAGCACGGCCGGTGTCCCATGGGTGCTGCTACCTCAGAGTGTGGGGCCAAGGGCGGGTTCCGGGGCTCGAAAGAGTCAGGGGTGAATCCTGCTTCATCACGTGTAACAGAGCTGGGGGGGGGGGGTAGTCCCTTAACCCACTTGCCTGTAAGTAACGAAGATAATTCCTTATCTTCAGTGGAGGCAGCAGGATTCTTGCAAGGAGGGAATAAAATCAAATACGATAAAACGTGGTGCACGATAGTCACTCAGTAAATCCTCATACCTCTCCTTTTATCGTTCTTGTAGAAATTCGGAACCAGGAGCATTACGCGCGTCTCTTCTCCAGCTGCGGAAGCTGAAGGGAGGGGATGGGGAGCCTGGCATCGCCAGTCGTGTGCATTTATGCGATCAATTAATCCGACTCTAATCTGCAGGTGCAGCAGGCAGCCCCCCTGCTCCCCAACTTATGTTTAGGCTGACAGGTGTTCCAGGTTTGGCCAGCAATGTCAGTTACTCCCTCTGTCTCGGGTGTTTGGTTCTTCTTCTGATGTTGTTTTCCTTTGTAAAACAGATTCTCCATTCTAAGTGCCGGGACAGACACGAAAACAAGTCTCAATGGCAAAATCTCGTGAAGAGAAAACAAACAAACAAACAAAAAAGTCAGCCTCTACTGCATCATTTGGAAGTTGGGAAGAGACATCCGGGAGGACTCATGGTCAGAGTGAGGGGTGGTGGCTGGAGTCACCCCAGAAGGAGGTGGTCGGAGAAGCATCTGGAAGGTCCCCTGGAGATACTGCCCCCACACCCCCGGGGGCAACGGGGCCCTTCTCACACCAGTGGGCAGGCATAGTCCCTGGCCCCCTGGGAATGGAACCCTTGGGTGAGGCTTCGAAATGATCATTATTAGATATTTCACCTGTTGCTATTCGACGTGGGTGTTAAGGCTCCTAAGTTCAAACCCTGCGGAAGAGAGAGGCCCACGGAGGCAGAACAGAACCTGTGCATCATGTTGCTGAGTCACAATCCCAATCAGGATGACACAGGGCAGGGCAGGGGCTGGAGGAGCAGGGGGCTCGTTTCCCCGTCAGAGGAGATGGTCACGTCCGGGTC